GGGTGTGTGTGTGCAGGTGAAGGAGCTGGTGCTGGACAATTGTCGCTCAGAGGATGGCAAAGTGGTCGGCCTCTCGTCAGATTTTGAGAACCTCGAGTTCCTCAGCATGATCAACATCAACCTGCTGTCCGTGTCCAACCTCCCCAAACTCAACAAGCTCCGCAAGGTGAGTCCAGGCTCTGCTTTTCCAAAAAAACGCTTGAATTTTGTTGTTTCCTCTCTGAGCAAGTAGAGGGGTCGGTTTTAAAGTGCAACAAAACCCTTGTGAGCTCTTCAGGTGTTTGGTGCCTTTCCTCTCGTGCTTGTGCTGTTGTGCTGCTGTCAGAAGCTTCAAAGATTTTGAATATTTTGGGTATTGTTGATATTTTGGATATTATGAATATTGTGGATATTTCACATCTTTTGGAGTACTTGGCAGCACAGGGGTGGTTGGCAGCGCCATGTCCCTGCAGCAAAGGGGTTTTAAGGGCAAACCTGACGTTAAAATTTTAAGGGATTTAGGYGCTCCCTGCAGCCCAGCTCTCAGAGCAGTTTCCTTCCCCATATCACGAGCTGAAACACTTGGTGACCATGTGATATTGCCTCCCTTCAGCTGGAGCTGAGTGATAATAGGATTTCTGGTGGCCTTGAAGTTCTAGCAGAGAAAACTCCCAACCTGACACACTTGAATCTGAGCGGCAACAAGATCAAAGACATCAACACCCTGGAGCCCTTGGTGAGTGGAGGCTGTGCTGGAATGCCAGGGCTGACATTTCCTGTGGGTCTGTGCAGCAACTGTTCCAACAGCTCCTCGTGGGTCTGCTGGGGACAGGTTTGATCCCAGTTTGAGGCTGGGCCAGGAATTAATGGCTWCCCAGTGTGGAAAAGCAGAATCAGTTATGAAGGGAACGTGAGATGGGGCTGGATGTGTGAAACTGGGGATGCTCAGTCTGAGGAGGGAGCAGTAAAGGTTTGGGGTTGGTGGCACWTGGGGTGTCCTGGAATGAGGTCACTGGACACCAGTGAGGGTCTGTCCCATCAGCCTGGTTGTGCTGTCACAGCCACAGGGTCAGGGAGGGTGGGAAGGGCCTGAGGAGGTGACTGAAAAGGGGTGAGGAGTATCTGAGACAGAGTTTTTGCCTCACTGGTCCATCCATTCCCTGCAGAAGGAATTTGGGGTTGTTGTGCTGCTCCTTCCCTCTGCCAAGGGCTCTCCCTGAGCTCTGCCTTGGGGTTCTGCCTGGTATTCCAGGCAGGATGAGCCTGAGAGACTCCTGAGCTTTCTGTGCCTGTTCAGAGGAAAGATTTGGAAATGCACAGAGTTGRTTTCAGAAAGGGAAGGCAGGACAGAGGAGCTGGAAGCACAAATTTCTGTGCCCACAGTGAGCAGGAGCAGTGAGTTCTCTCCATCCGAGGAGCAAATGGGGCAGAGCCACTTCTGAGCTGGACCTGGGCAGTGCCTGATCTTGGCTGCCTGATCCTCACACAAAGCTGTCAGTAACTCAGACAAACCGATTTTTGCAGAAAAAGTTGCCAAACCTCCACAGCCTGGACCTGTTCAACTGCGAGGTGACGATGCTCATCAACTACCGGGAGAGCGTGTTCGCCCTGCTGCCCCAGCTCACCTACCTGGATGGCTTCGATGCTGACGAGCAGGAGGCCCCAGACTCAGACCCTGAAGCAGATGGGGATGCCCTGGAGGACGAGTATGAGAAYGGGGAAGGTGAGGGTTTTCTCTCCTCGTGGTTTTTCTGCTGGGGAACGACTCCGTTTCCATTTCTGGGTGGGTTTTGTGGATGGGGATTTGTGGTGGAGTAAGGGCAGTGTGGGTATCCCAGCCCCTTTTCAATTGGGATGGGAGGGACTGGGAGTTGCTGGGAGRAASTGGGAMTAACTGGGAGGRACTGGGACTTCTTGGGAGGGACTGRGATTTACTGGAAGGGGACAGGGCTTGTTCTGTCCTTCCTTATCCTTTATGACCCACACAGGGGTGAGGGGTGTGTGGGAACAGTGGGGATTTGGGAACTGGAGCACTTCCCTCCCTCCCCATTTTGGTAGAAGGTGAGGAAGAGGAAGATGACGAGGAGGAAGATGATTTGGATGAAGAAGTCATCGATGATGAGGAGGATGAAGACGACGATCTGGAAGGGGAAGAGGAGGAGGATGGAGTAGATGACGAGGTGAGGCTGGCACCAGTTCAGCTCCAGGCTGTGCATTTGTTCTTTCTGGTGTCACAGGAGCCTCTTTGGGGTCACATCTGAGGAATTCCATCCACCCCATTGGATTCCATTGGAATGGAATCCAGCCGTTCCAGTGGCATTTTCCCTGCACTTTGCACTTTGGTGCCCAGAATTTCCCAGTTCAGAGCTGGGGCTGGAGCTTCCCATGGCTCTGAGTGGTGAATCCCCATCCTGATCCCCACGGATCCCCAGGGATGKGAGGAGCTCCTGGAGAACCCACAGCCTCTTCTGAGGCTTCAGTGGGGCGGGAGATGGGAAGGAAGATTCTGGAATTGCAGCTCCTGGAATTGTGGCTTGTGCAACAAAGCCTCTTGTTTTAACTGCAGGAGGAAGATGAGGAGGAAGATGGCGAGGARGATGAAGAAGATGAAGCTGAAGAGGGTGAGTTGAGTCCTGACAAACCAATTCCTYGCAGAGCTGTCTCAAGAATCAAATATTTGGTGTTTTTGGAGCTTCCCCAGCCCCAGCCCAGGGCTGTTGCTGCCTGAGCTGATGCTGAGCGGTGTCACCACCGAGGGTCACCCAGGGAATGGAAAAGAGGTTTTGGAACCTCCTAATTCCAGCCCCACCAGGTCATTGTGGGAAATGTGAGAGGTCAATTACTCAGAAAAGCGGTTCTGGGAATGAATGGGCCGTGCAGGAGCAGGGTTTCTGTCCCAGGAGTGTGAGGAGATGGCTTGGGGACACCTTCCCTTCTCCTGAGCTGAGACCTGAGGTGGGCCAGGCTCCTCTGGGTCAAACAAACACAAACACCCCGGTGAAAGTTGGCAGAATGTTGTGGCTGCAGTGAATTCACGGATTTTGGATGGATTGTGGGATTGTTAATGTTGGGAAATCCCTCAGAGTCCAGCACCACCAGCCCCAAGTGTCACATCCAAGGTTTTTGAACACTTCAGGCCTGGTGACTCCACAGCCCTGGGCAGCTGTGCCAGTGCCTGAGCACCTTTTCCTTGAAGGGATTTTTTTCCAACATCCAATCTGAACCTGCCCTGGCCCAGTTTAAAACCATTTCCTCTTGCCCTGTCCCTCATCACCTGAGACAACACTGAGTCCMCCMSCTCCTGTCAGGGAGTTGTGCAGAGCCACAAGGTCYCCCCTGATCCCCCTTTGCTCCAGGCTGAGCCCCTTTCCCAGCTCYCTCAGCCTCTCCTGGTGYTCCAGACCCTTCCCCAGCTSYRTTCCCAWCCCTGGACACGCTCCAGCCCCTCCATGTCCCTATGAGGAGCCCAAACTGCCCTTAGGAWGTGAGGCCTCAGCTGTGCCAGCACAGGGGGCCACGAGCTCAGTCAGGAGCGCCTGAATTCCGCAGATGCTGCATTTTTGAGGCTGTCAAACAAAAAAAAAACAAAACCCTTTTCAGCTGTTGAAACACAGGATGCTCAGAGGGCATGGAGAGTCAGTGTCTCCTGTCAGCCCAGGATTTTGTGGGTGCCCCAGGAGCAGGGCAGGGTGGATCTGCTCCCCAAGGTGCTCCCAGCTCCTCATGAGGCCACAGCTCAGCAGGAAGAGTGGATCAGGGGGGCCAGGCTGGAAGAGTGAATCTCACCAGGCTGGAAGAGTGAATCTCACCCTCTTTGCAGAGCACCCGTGTGGGGAGAAGAGAAAACGAAGTCTAGAGGATGAAGGAGAGGAAGATGCAGAGGATGAAGAGGACGATGAGGATGACTGACCCCAGCGAGCCGCTCAGTTTTACAGACTCTGACTGTGCTTGTCTTAACCTCCCCGTTGTGTCTGTGTGAGACTGTAAATCCCTGTCTCCCACTCCTCCTCCTCCTCCTCCTCCTCCTCCCCCTTTGTATGGCTGCAGCGTCCACAATATATTTTTTTAAGATTTAGAATACTGTAGGCATTCAGGGGAATCTTCCATACAAGGCTCACTTTTTTTCTCTCACAAAAAAGTATCTCATGACCAAAGGCTTTTCTCC